TCAATTTCAAAATGCAGGATGGATGCAGATTCCTGCAGCTCGCGGCAAAATGGATGCAGCCTGCAGGGGCACCCGGAAGTGGATTCTGCATGCTGCAAATCCGCGTGCAGGCTGCACGTTTTTTTTTCCGATAAGTTCGCTTCTAAGAGTAATAAAACTGTCACTACCCTCAAGGATGAATCTCTATTAGACCAACCTCTTGATTTCTTCGAATCATTTGACTACGTTGCACCAACTAACGGACTATACGAGGTTTACGAACGTCCAGATACTGATACAGATTGGTTTGGCTGTAATATGGCCGACCTATTCCGTCCAGATCCATACTTCGACGACCCCCCAATTCTGACAGCGTTTCAAGTCAATCAGTCACGTAGGCGACCGAGTGTTCTATTTGCCCCTAAAGCTCCTATCGATTTTGACATTGAAACGGGGCCATTGCTTGCCAAAGATTCTTTTTGAGATCTTGCACCTGTTTCTCCAACTAAACCAGCAAAACCAAAGGGTACACGTACTATCAACGTACCTCCTGCACCGCGGCGCAATCAAAGACGGAAGACTCGTTTTAGTACTGGTAATCGCAATGGGGAGAGAACTGATAATGGCCCTCCACCACGAACCGAGCAAGAACACGAACCTTTGCCGCCAACTGCTACGGAATATAAGAATCCAAGCTCTGCAGTGAAGTCTCATGAACGCGATTGGGAGCGACTGCGACGATACTTTGCGTGGTTGCCTAAGCTAGTAATTCAGAAAACTTTTGATTGTACTACTCAGTTGGCTTGCATCCCCATGAGCGCTCACCTTCAGCGTCACTACCGTTCACCGTTCCCAGCGCTTAATGTCAATAGACGCAACGAAGGTTTAGCAACCAATACTGTCTATGCCGACACTCCAGACATTGAACACGGACATGTGGCAGCTCAGTTCTATGTGGGACTGTCCTCTCTTGTTAGCGACGTCTATGGTGTCACTTCAGATGCTCAATTCCTACAGACATTACAAAACAGCGTACAAAAGAGAGGAGCACCATCAAAACTTGTGAGTGATCGGGCTCAAGCACAAGTTTCCAAGGCAGTAAAAGACTACCTTTGTTGGCTATGACTGGCAAAGCGAACCGCATCGCCAGAACCAGAACCCAGCTGAACAAAGATACCAAGATGTTAAATGATTAGCTAACAGGATCCTGGACTGCACCGGTGCACCTCCTAGTCTATGGCTCCTAGCCCTTTGTTATGCTTCTTTTGTCTACAACTATACTGCCGTCAAGGGTCTTGGATGGATGACCCCTATCCAAGCGCTGACCGGTATCACTCCAGATATTAGTGTACTACTTCGTTTCCTTTTTTATGAAAAAGTATACTATAAAACGGAGGAACCTGCTTTCCCTTCTGACTCTCCGGAGTCCATTGGTTACATGGTAGGCATTGCCGAGTATGTTGGTCACGCCATGACCTACAAGATTCTGAACCCTGAAACAAATAAAATATTGTACTGTTCGGAAATCCCCTCTGCTTTGTCTGATACTGATCCCAACAAACGTCTTGATACATCTGATGGGAAGGATTTGTCAACCCCTACAATAATCAAATCTAGAAATGACAAAAATAAAGTTCGAACTGTTATTTATTCTAGTGACAATGAGTCAGATTCTGAAGACGTTCTTGTGGAAATAGTGACCTCATTGGTCGGACATTCCTTTTTAAACCAGATAAAGAAGGATATGTAAGACGTGCCAAGATTGTTGAGCTTATCGATAAGCACAAACACGATACCACCAACAAACCTGAACATATTTGTTTTTGTGTGAGCATAACAAAGGTGAATACGATGATATTATGGCATACAATGAGATCCTGGAGCGTTTGGAAGCCGATATGGACAACCCGATAGTTTGGAAGTTCAAGCAAATTGTTTCCCATCAAGGACCACTTTGACCTGACCATCCATCCTACATGGGTTTGACCTACAACGTAACCATCAAATGGGAGAATGGGGAGATTACTCCCAAACCATATATATAACTGAATCATTAATTGGTATTTATGACAGAATATTATTATTCTTGGTGGAACGCTCGAGATTACACTAGAAGATAAGGATATCAATTCAAGGTAAACAAAACACGACGCGATGAGTCGATCGGGAATTGACGAACAGTTGATGCGCTTGATGTGCAAAGTTCCAACTGTTCTCATCTGACGACACGTCATCACATCTATTTTACTATTAATTACTATAAGACCCATAAGACTGCTTACATACAAATCGTATTGGTCCGAGTCACAAAACCCGTTCTTGATACAATTCTGTCACTCCCCAAATGGGTGAGTGAGTGAGTGAGGACCTAATCCTCCTCAGCTGTGTCATCTACTCAGGAAAGTAGTGTACGTAGCTGTGGCCATATTTGTTGATATCTTTTGCTAAGGATATTGGCCGGGTGTTTAGCACCTTTGATGTGTAGAAAGGAGAGCGTATTGGATGCAATAGCCTCTCTAACACGGTGGAACAACAGTACAATATGTCACTTGTGCGGTTTTGTATTAGGTCTTGATGGGCTGTTGGTAACAGTCTCAGTAGTCTTGGTTCCATCAATAGGAGGCAAAGAAAACCTTTTCAGGTGAAAAACTTCGTTCACATGACTTAATGGCAACAAGGCATGCCATATGTGTAGGTGGTACAATGTCATCTTATACCGTTTAGTTATGTGCCGAGGCAAGCCATCAAGGAGTGGCTCATTGCCTTCGAGCAGTGGTTGCAGACCAGTTGTCTGCTCCCCATGAATCTGAGCAACAATACCATCAGAATCCATTTGGTCTTCAGTTGAAGCGGTCAACTGCTTCATGTAGAAAGCGTTGGTAGATAGACAAGTTGCTAAGTGGATGATTTTTACCATTTTAGTTTTAGCTAGTAGTCTTATTTCAAATCGCTTTCGTCCAATTGGATGTTGATGCTGACAGTTTGGCAAAAGTTTGCCAGTCATCAATATATGTCCAATGGAGGGAGTCGCTCACTGCCAATGCACAGTAATAAAGACCTATATCATTGGTTGTAGTTGTAGCAAACTCATGTGTGCCTGTGCCATAGAAGTCAAGACTTTGGTTAGCTCCGCTACAAGCACATTGGTGGTATAGGCCTGGAGACCACTCAATGATACAATCATTGTAGCTTGGCGATTCAGTGCCATGGAAGCAATGATAATGTTTGTAATGAAAAGATTGATCAAGATGAAATTGATGCTTTACTTGAAGAAATGGAAGAATTTATTGAAAATTATGATGATGCTCACACCAAAAATGTCGAAGAACAGGACTGTCGCAAGTATTTATGAACAATTGAGATGGAGAAATGATGATGAAGATTCTGATCAAGATCCCAATCCAAACAAATAAAGGTCACCGTGCTATTAGATACGCACGCATAGTCTGTACGTAGTAACGTACAGAATCGGTGATGGACCACACACATCATCACAACTTTCTAGATTTCCTTTTACGAACGTCTATCAACTTTCCTTTACTTTTATCATCCTCCTAGTAAGTCTATTGCTACACAACATATTTTACATTGTTTATCACGACCCAATAGCTATGAAAGCAAAAGCTATTCAATAAAATGCATTCAAATGAACGAATTATGAATAGGAATACTGCAATATTTTTTAATATGTGCAAAGCCGATATCGATCGTGTCAATGGTGCTACATCACCGGTTTTGACCATGTAAAACTGTCAAAGGTGTAACAAATGTAACACCAATACAAACGAACTAACTAAGGAATCACTTTTATAGGCAAAATGGCCGCCGCAAGCTCAACATATGGCAGAAGAGCTCTTTGACAACGATTTTGGCACTGCCATGACCAAGTCAATCAAGCAGGTCAACATGGACCTTGCAATGCTTGCATCCTTGACCGCTGTGCAAGGACGAATTGTGTCAAGACCA